TGAAAGTTTCCTCTACACAACAATTCGCAAGCTTATATGGTAATTGTATATATTTATGTTAACCAAACTTCTGATATGAGTAACGTTGTTACAATGGAAAAACAAGATCAAAATATGTTTTGCTAATTACCCAACCCTTCTTTTTTTTTCCATCCCATGATTCAATGTTTCTCTCTTCCTTGTCGCTCATTTTCAATCTACCATTTCTGTGAACATCTCCTCCTCCATTGAGGACCCGAAACGTAAGCTCTAAGAGCATCACATGGGTCTCTGTTTCTCTTCTCCTAAAGCCACAAGACATGGCAGCGCCAGTGGCCGGAAAACTAATCCGACGCCGGAGATACCTAAACCGCAACCACAAGGGAAGACAAAAGAGAAAGTTAGTAATAAAAACAAGAAAAAGACAACAAAGAACAACAAGATCCAATGGAGACACCAAGGAGGGATCCCTTACGGTAAGCGCATCGATTTTGGATACGCTAAGGATTTCGATAATCAATACATCATCGGAAAATTGCTCGGACACGGCCAGTTTGGCTTCACATACGTCGCCACCGATAACAGAAATGACGATCGCGTCGCGGTCAAGAGAATCGATAAGGCCAAGGTAAACATAAATTGGTACTGGTATTGGCAATGTATTGATTCCAAAAGATCCATAATTTTCCTAAAAAATCCAACCTTTAAGGAATGTGATTGCTTGACATCAAAGTAAGCTCTGTTTTCATACCAATTTTGTCCATTAGAGTAAATACCAATTTTCTTAGCGTCGAATGGTTTTGTTTTGGTGATTTGGGGTGCAGATGACTCTACCGATTGAGGTCGAAGATGTGAAGCGAGAGGTTAAGATACTACAAGCATTAGGTGGGCATGAGAATGTAGTTGGCTTTCACAATGTATTTGAAGACAAAAACTATGTTTATATAGTCATGGAGTAAGCCTAAAAATTTGTCTCTGTTTTTATTAGAGCAAATTCCATTTCTTGTGATACAAGAAAGGGTAAAATTACCCTG